GCCCGTCCTCTTGATCAAGGAGGCCATGGAGACCCTATCAAATGGACTTGAACCAGTGTCCAGTCTACAAAGAGGAGGGTCAACACAGAAGAATCATTTCCTCCATGCTTCCGAGCGAAGCCAACCGTGGTCGAGTAGGACCTTTGACTTATCTTCACATAGGTGGAACTGGTAAAAGAAAGGAGCCAGGGGCTCCTCCTAAGCCCATGGGACCCCTGAGGAACAGATCCTCAAACGACCTTAAGAGTAAAAATAAATCGGTTTATCTGAACCAACTGTATGGCCTTAGATACCCAAAAGGCAAAGTATAACCAAAGATTAAAGGAGCCAATATAATTTCATAAGAGTCCATATGTATAGCTAACGGCTACATAACAAGCAACAATGCCAGACAGGCAATACCTTCTTTTGAGTTGTTGGCCAGGGTGGCCAAAGGGACTCCCAGATAGTAACCCAGCATAGAACTGGGAAAATGAACAGCAGACCCCAATCTTATCCAAAGGAATATTGACAACTGATTACAGCTAGATGAGGAACAGCGGACCCTCCTAAAACAAAGACCTCTAGATAGGCTGACTAGATTCACCAGAAGGGCAAGTAGTGGGGAATGGCTGGGGGTGCCAACAACACAGCAGACAGTAGCAGGGATATCAGGGTATAAGGGCTCTAGTGGGGGGAGGGAGGCTATGGGAGGGTGCTATCTGGGAAGTAGGTATAAAAATAAATAAATAAATATTTTAAAAATTAAAAAAAATTTGTTAATTTTATTTTACTTTATGTGTATGAGTGTTTTGCCTGAATGTATGTAAGTGCACCATGTGCATGCAATACCCACAGAGGCCAAAAGAGGGTGTTGGATCCCCTGGAACTAGAGTTACAGATAGCCACCATGTGGGTGCTGAGAATTGAACCCAGGTCCTCTCTTCTGGAAGAACAGCAAGTGTTCTTAACCACTGAGCCATCTCTCCAGCCCCATAAAACTTAAAAAATTTTTTAAAAATAGAAAAATGAGATTCTCACTCTGTAGCCCAAGATGGCCTAGAACTCATGATTCTCCTGCCTCTATCCCAAAAGTGCTGGGATTACAGGCATGTTCCACCATTCCCAGCTAAACTGTCACATCTTTGTCTGGTGGGAACCTCCCTAAGTTGGTTCCTGAATCTTTTGATATAGTCTCCAGAGTAGTTACACCTCCCTTATAAATAGGTAACTAGACCACAGTTGGGTTTTTTTGTTTGTTTTTATTTTTTTATTTTTATTTTTTTGGTCTTTTTGAGACGGGGTCTCCTTGTAGCCTCAACTGGCCTAGAGCTCACCAAATAGATCAGGCTGGCCTTGAACTCAAGAGAGATCTGCCTGCCACTGCCTCCCAACTGCTGGGACTAAAGATGTGCACCACCACGCCCAGCTAGACCACAGTTTTATACCACATAGTAACCTAGGATAGGAAGATTGTTTCCTACTTTCAGAGAGGAAGCTGCTAACATCACGGTAGGCATACGTACCCTTCATTTTCTAGCAGTCCTCGGCAGTCCACCACCGACCCTCCATTTCCAATTCTGTCTCGAGTCTGTAAACTGACTGTAACAGAAAAGAACAGCTTACATTAAAACCCAGTCCTGCTCCATACAGCGGTACACAGTGAGCCACCGCAAATTCATAGCTTATGTCCAGTATCATCAAAAAAGTAGTGAGTTTACACACACCCTCCATGCTTTCAGTGTGAAGCATCTCAGTCCAACAGCTGCATATACCACATACCACCTGGAATAGCCCTTGTAAATGAGGATCGGAAAAGGGGCTGGGTTTCTCACACCTCCCCCGCCAAAACTACAGAATGAATATGCAGTTTCATCAAGTTAGTTTCTGTCACAAAAAGATTGTGGCTTATGTCTAGTGAGGGTACAGGGGGCACCTTCAGTGCCTGCAGAATCGAGCTCCATCACATTAAATACCTGCGCTTTTTTTTTTTTTTTCTTTTCTTTTTTGGTGTTTTTGAGACGGGGTCTCCCTGTAGCCCCAGCTGTCCTGGAACTCACTATGTAGACCAGGCTGACCTTGAACTCAGAGAGATCCACCTGCCTCTGCCTCCCGAGACCTGGGATTAAAGGCATGCACCTCCACACCAGCAATACCTCTGCTATTTATTCCTAGGTTTTCAGTTGTTTGATTTTTGCCCCTGGTATATCCCTACACAAAGCAAAGAAGGACTCTCGGGTGGGAAGGCAGAATGTGGTAACATTGCCAGTAGGACTTCTTTTAGGGTGGACACGAACTGCTCATCCCCTTAGGTCATGTGTGCCTGTGACAGGATAGGAGGCATTTGGAGTCGTGAGTGACTCAGCCTGGCTGCTGTTCCATGGGCTCCCTGCAGTGCATATAGGCAACATTTGCTTCCCCGTAACACACTGCCAAGAACAGGGTGGGTGATAGGATGAGCTACCAAGATACATCACTCTGTCGGAATGCTTCCCGTCCACACTAAGTGTGTTGTAATTTCTCCCTGCATACAATGGAATCTTCTGACTCTATAAATCACCTTATGTGGCATTTATCACAAGTCATCATTGCTTTTTACATACAGGATGGGTCTTCCCAAAGAAGCTAAGTCCGAACTCTAGCATCTGTGGCTGCAGTTCTTATGGGCTACCCTTGAATAATACAATGGCCAATTAAGTGTCCATTTATCTGGTAATTAGAAAGACACTTAAGGATCATAATCCTCTATCTCTCCTAGAGTCACATTAACTTGGTTTCAGTGACAGGATGATGGAAACTGGAGGAAAGTAATGAAAAGCAAACAGGAAGAAAGGTTTAGTACTGAAGAGATGGCCTGTATGTGCTCTGTCCTCGAAGCATGTCCCCAGCCAGTGCTATGCGCACTCCTCGGCCAACCGGGAGCTGAATGTTAGATTCCGTACAGCAGCCTTTCTACAGGTGAGGAATGTTAGGTTCCAGACAAGCATCCTTTATACAGATGAGGAACACTAGGTTCCATACAAGCATCCTTTATTACAGACGAGAAAGGTCTTACCCACTATTTGGCCACGAACTGCATCAGTATCTGAGGGATTTAGTTTGCATAGATCCAAACGCTGGTCTGCAAACAAACAATTCAAAACTTAACCCAAGGAATGTTAACTAGGGAGGAAGGCAGGAATTCTGTATTCAGCATTCAAAAGAAATAAAAAATAAACATAAATAAATAAAAAGCTGCCTCCTGAGCTTTCTCCAGTTGCATTAAGAGGCAGAAGAGCGCTTGGTCCTTACAGCCAGTGTCTTTCAATCTGCTGACGGCGTTCGAGAGCAGCCGCACGCAGCCCAGGAAGCCGGCGCCCTGCTTCTTATGGATCTTCTTGTGGTTCCACACACTGATGGTGATAGAATCGGTTTTCCCAACGTATCTGCAGAGAACATGCAGATTCATTTTAATTCTGTTTCTGAATAATGATGACCTCTGAATAATGATGACCTCATTTAAATGTATCTGACTGACTTAGAATCCTTATGGGGGGGACGTGGAGGGGAGATACAACTGGCTCTGTGTCTCACGTGGAACACGGTTCAATATATGCCCACTTACTAACTTCAGTAGGCATGGATGAATGACTACAACCAGTTATGCAAGGAAAAATGGAGAGTAATAATCATTTATTTATTTATCTATTTAATTTTGAGACAGGGTTTCACTATGTAACCCTGGCTGGCCTGGAACTCGTTATGTAGACTCTAGGCTGGCCTCAAACTCAGATATCTGCCTGCCTCTGCTTCTGACTCCTTAGTCTTCTCAGTGCTGGGATTAAAGGTCTGTACCACTACACCTGGCTTATCAAATCTTGAAAAATGTTTACTTATTTATCAACGTCTTTGCAACACTAGTGATTGAACCTATGGCTTTCCACAGTTAGCTAAGTAAGCAAGCCCTCTACCACTGAGCCAAACCCCCAGCCCCTGACTGGAGGATTTCAGGCAGGTGCTCTAACACTGAGTCATGCCCCCAGATCCTCACTGGGGGATTCTAGGCAGGTGCTCTGCTGATGAACCACATTTGTATTTTCACTTTTTATGTTCAGAAAAGAGTCTAAGTTGCCCAGGCTGGTGCTGTGAAGCAATTTTTTCTGAATTGAAACAATCTATCCTAGAGGGAAGCTTGTTAAGACTCAGGAAGTTCTAAAAGGAAGGTCTTTTTTTTTTTTTTTTGGTCCTTTTGAGACACGGTCTTCCCTGTAACCCCAGCTGACCTGGAACTTGCTATGTAGACCAGGCTGGCTTTCAACTCACAGAGATCCACCTACCTCTGCTGGGATTAACGGCATACACCACCACGCCCGGCTTAAAAGGAAGCTCATTAAGATTCAAAAAGTTCTGGGGGCTGGAAAGATGGCTCAGCCGTTAAAAGGAGAGGACCTGGGTTTGGTTCCCAGAATCCACATGGCAGCTGTCTGAAACCCCAGTTCCAGAGGATCCAGTGCCCTCTTCTGACCTCTGTGAATATTGCACAACATGGTTCACCTACTTGCATTCAGGTAATACACTCATACACATAAAATATTTTTTTAAAAAGATTCAAGAGGGGCTGGAGAGATGGCTCAGTGGTTAAGAACACTGGTTGTGCTTGCAGAAGACCTGGGTTTGAATCCCAGCACCCACACGGCAGCTGACAACTGTCCATAACTCCAGTTCCAAGGGATCCGACGGCCTCTTCTGTCCTCCGTGGGCACTGCACGACACGGGTGCACTTACCTACATGCAGGCAATACACGCATAAAATAAAAATAATAAAATATTTTTTAAAAAAAGATTCAAGAAGTTCTGAAGGACGTCTTCTTAAGATTCAAAGTAAACAGCTCACAAATCTCAGGAAGTCCCTGAACCTGACCAGGTGCACATGGCCCTCCCTCCCCAAGGTTATATTAGCAGTAAGGCCTACTGAGGAGACTAGGACCAGCTGAGCTGCTGGAAGATTCTTTTCAACCTGTGGAGCTGCCTGCAAGTCATACAGGGAGCTCCAGGGTCACAGCTTCTGTGAGTCATCAGCCATGCTGTGAGGAGGTAGGGAAGCTTTCATGATATAACTGTCAGTGAGTCATCCATGCTCCTGTAAGTAACCATTCACCTATACTATTGTAAGTGACCCCTCACCCAAACTCCTGTAAGTAATCTCAATACACTGATTCACCAAACTGAACTTTGGTAGTATTGTTACTTTGGTCTGTCAGTTCCCTATCTAAGGTGAACGACATTTGTTCACATTTCTGCACAAGAGTGTCATATAAATTGGCCTTGAACTCACTCTGTAATCAAAGTAGGCCTTGAACTTACAATGCTCCTGCCTCCGCCTGCCAAGCTTCTGGGATTATGAGCTGGTGCCAACAGGCCTAGCATAGAGTAATAATGCTGTAAAAGAGGTTGACTCTAGTACCTCTGTAGGGCAGTGTCAGAGGCTCCCAACAATTAAGCTTTAACAAAGAATACTAGTTTGTGACAAGGAACTTCTCATAATCCCAGGTTCATCCCAAGCACACAGAGGACATACTAACAGTACACCCTCCCCCAATTCAATCTCAGAGCAAGGCAGCTGCAGAGAAGAAACTTCAAGAAAAGAAATGGTGACCACCTTCCAAGTCCCTGGAAGCAGGATCTCTAAAAGTTCCACCCCAACACACAGTGCAACTAGAATTAATAAAACAATAGTCACGAAGAAACTGATGAAAAATTCTTAGCAAGGACATGGAAATATGGGTGCATATGAAACTGTGACCCTTGATTTGGAATGCATACACAAAAGCGTTAGGTGACCTGTGGGCATAAACATGGTAAAACCGGCAAAATTCTATTTTCCTCCTGCAGAAAGCTTTTATAACCAAAAAAGTCAACATTTAAAAAATTCAACAGAGGGCTGGAGAGATGGCTCAGCAGTTAACAGCACTGGCTGCTCTTGCAGAGGACCTGGGTTCTGTTCCCAGCACCCCATGACAGCTAACAACCATCTATAACTTCAATTCCAGGGGATCTGATGCCCTCTTCGGGCCTCTATGGGCGCTGCATGCAAGTGGTGCACTTACATACATGCAGGCAAAACACTCAAACATATAAAATATTAAAATTAAAGAAAAAGGAAGCCAGCAATCTGTCAGGCATGGTGGCGCATGCCTTTACTCCCAGCACTCGGGAGGCAGAGGCAGGTGGATCTCTGTGAGTTCAAGGCCAGCCTGGTCTACATAGTGAGTTTCAGGCCAGCTGGGGCTACAGGGAGACCCTGTCTCAAATACAACAAAACAAAATAAAACAAATAAAAGGCCAGCAATCTTTTCCTCTTTCTTGAATGCGGCTCCTCAAAGGGCAGCACCTGCTCCCACCCCAGCCCTCCCAGAGTCTCACAGGTCAACTCACAGGTCATAGTGCTGGTTCCACTTTGGGTCCAATGTGTTTTTCACAGTGTCGGTTGAGTGGCACTGCCCGGAGCCATCCACAACGATCTTGGCGAAGGGGTCAGGGAGCCCTGGAGGAGAGATGGAGACACAGCCAGATAAGACAACAAGTCTACCAGGTGGTCAGAGGCAACCTCTCCCAGAGGGAGCAGCAAGATCACCCATCCCGATACAGGCCTCCTTTACACCGCTCTATTCACTCTGACTGACTTAGTTTCCATTTACAGAGAAATTCTCCACTATTTAACTTTCTGAAACATGCCTTCACTTTGAGATTATGAGAAGACAGAAAAGCATGAAAACACAGGCTTGTTTCAAATGCTCATCTCTGGTGATTAATTTGTATTATTTTTATTTATGTGTGTGAATGCATGCACAGCTATGAATTACAGTGCCTGTGGAGGCCAGAAGAGGGCATCAGATGCCCTGGAACTGGAGTTACAGAGGGCTGTGAACTACTATGTGGGTGCTGAAAACCAAACCTAGGTTCTCCACAAAAGCAGTCAGTACTCCTAACTACTGAGTCATCTCTGTGGCCCTGCCTCTGACAAGTGTTAAACAGGCTAATGTAATTCAGAGAACAACATCTATGATGAAGTAAACTTCTTTTTAAATTTTTTATTTTTTTTATTTTATGTGTATGAGTGTTTTACCTGAATGTATGTAAGAACACCATGTGGATACAGTGCTTAAGGAGGCCAGAAGAGGGTGTCAGATTCCCTGGAATTGGAGTAAGGACTGTTGTTAGCCACCATGTGGGTGCTGGGAACCAAACCCACGTCCTCTGCAAGAGCTGACCGGTCTCTCCAGTCCCTTAAGAAGTAAACTTCTAAAAAGTCATAATTGGGCTCTTTTGCCCATCTAGGCTATGGAAGCCGGGGTTCCCCGAGTTTTAATTAGTTTAAGCCCCTAAATGCTGGCATGTGAATCAGAGAGTCTTCTGACATCAGATGGGTGGCCAGGTCTGAGGGTTCTGACACTGGGCTGTGGACACCACTGTGGCACTTCCTGGCCACTGGATAAAGCCTCTGAGCCCAAGTTTCTCCATCCTCAAAGGGTGAACAAAGAAATGGGGAGAATCAAGGCTGCAGGAGCCACTTCCCAGGGGGCGAGTCCCCTCCCACTGAGGAGCCAGGCTTTCCTTCAGCAAAGGAATCACAATTTTTACAATTCTTTTCCTTACAAGAATTCTTTATTTTTTATTTTTATTTTTTTTTGTCTTTTTGAGACAGGGTCTCCCTGTAGCTCCAGCTGTCCTGGAACTCACTATGTAAACCAGGCTGGCCTTGAACTCACAGAGATCCGCCAGCCTCTGCCTCCCAAGTGCTGGGATTAAAGGCGTGCACCACCATGCCCAGCTTCCTTACAAGAATTTTTAAATGGTATTCAATCTACAAAACTGGATTGACAATATCAGCGAAACCAGCTACATTACAGATACATTTGTATTTGAGCAGAGACTACTCCATCCAGCAGAAAAGCAGGATGCATGGGGAGGCCAAGAAAACTGGGTGCAGCTGGAGTGGGGCATGAGAGACAGGTTTTAGGTGTGAGCTAAGAATTCTGAGCCTTTAAACTAGGGAGCTCTATGCTGCAGGAAGCTGGGAAATGTTTGTCAAACTCTGGATTCCTAGACTTTAGAAAACAACACCCAGTGTTTGATGCTTTTGTTGGATTTTTGTTTTGTTTTTTGAGACAGGGTCTCCCGGTAGCCCCAGCTGGCCTTAATCTCACAGAGATTCACCAGCCTCTGCCTCCTGAGTGCTGGGATTAAAGGTGTGTGCTACCACACCTGGCTTTATATGCCCAGTGTTTTTTAAAAATTAAAATGTTAGGGGCCAGTGAAATGGTTCAAGGAGTAAAAGCACTTGCTGCAAGCCTGATGACCTGAGTTCAATCTCTGGGACCCACATGGTGGAAAATTAAAAGTGACTCTTGCAAGCTGTATTCGCTTCTGACCTCCACATGTATGATGTGGAGCATGTGCGCACGCACACACAAACATGCACACACACACATAAAACATAAGTACAAAAAAATAAAATTTCAGAAAGACATAAATAACATTATACAAAAGCAAAACCGGATGTTCACTTACTGAAGAAATCTTTCTTTGCGAGGTTCTTGGCACATAATACTGAAAACAAAAACAGAAGGGTTAGCACCGATAGACTATGGTTCCATTATTCTAGTTAGCTTTCTGTTGCTGTGACAAGCGCCATAACCAAAAGCAAGCTGGGGAGGAAAAGGCTTATTTGACTTCCAGTTGCACTTCACAGCCCATCACTGAGGGATGTCAGGCAGGAGCTCAAGCAGAAGCCATGGAGGAGCACTGTGTGCTGGCTTGCTTCCCTGGCTTGCTCGGCTACCTTTCATATACAGCCCAGGCCCACTTGTCCAGGGGTGGCATGACCCATGGTGGAATGAGCCCTCCTTCATCAATTAACAATTAAGAAAATGATGTGGCCTCAGGCCAGTCTGATGGAGGAAGTTCCTCCAGTGAGGCTCCCTCTTCCCAGGTGACTCTAGTTTGTGTCAGGCTGACAAAAGCTAACCAGCACACCATCCATCATACTAGGTATGTGGGAAAAAAGTCTCAGAAATTTAACTCTGCCAATGATTCAATGATTTCTCTTTCATATTTAGTGTCTTTTTTTTGGTCTTTTAAGACAGGGTCTCCCTGTAGCAGCTGGCCTTGAACTCACAGAGATCCGCCTGCCTCTGCCTCCCAAGTGCTGGGATTAAAGGCATGCACTACCATGTCTGGCTTTTTAGTGTCTTTTTTAAAAAATATTTTATTTATTATTTTTTTATTCTATGTGTATGAGTGTATTGCCTGCATGTATGTGA